TCTTCCTCCTCCTCCTCACTTCCCTCCTCCTCCTCCTCCTCCTCCTCCTCCTCCTCTTCCTCCTCCTCCTCCTCATCATCATCATCATCCTCATCCTCATCCTCCTCATCCTCATCCTCATCATCATCATCAGCATCATCATCATCATCATCATCAGCAGCAGCATCATCGTTAACAGCATCATTGTCATCAGCTGCAGCAGCAGCAACAGAAGCATCATCATCATAATCATCATCATCATCATCATCGTCGTCATCATCATCATCATCATCATCATCATCATCATCATCATCATCATCATCATCATCATCATCATCATCATCATCATCATCGTCGTCAGCATCAGCATCATCATCATCCTCAGCATCATCATCGTCGTCATCAGCATGAGCATCATCAGTATCGTCATCAGCGGCAGCATCATCATCCTCATCAGCATCATCATCTTCATCATCATCACCATCATCATTAGCAACAGCATCATCCTCATTGTCATCATCATCCTCGTCCTCATCCTCATCCTCATCCTCCTCCTCGTCCTCATCCTCCTCCATCATCCTCCTCCTTCCCAGGCCTTCGACGACTCGATTGCCTCGAGCCGACGGCCCACAGACATCTCTCGACCCCCTTCCACCTGGAATGGATCTTCATCTCGCGGTCGTGTCAGACGGTCAACAAGGCCCAGGATAGACCCAATGGACACCGAAAATAACGGAAAAACTGCAGCGTGATTTGGTGAATCGCCAGGCTGGCCCAACGGGCCAGAGGCGTGCTAAGATCTCCGGTAACTGCTCAACAATATTTCTAGTTCGCGCGCGCGGGGCGGGCCCTGGGGGTCCCCGGACGAAAAGTACCCCGGCAAGGTCCCGGCAAGGTCCCGGCAAGGTCCCGGCAAGGTCCCTTTTGGAGCCCAGGAGGGCTCCAAACGGTCCAAGAGAGGCCCGAGAAGCCCTCCAGACGGTCCAAGAGAGCCGGGAGACGCCGAAATATCACTCCCAAACGCCTGCGATGGCCTCAAGACGGCCCAACAGGCCTTCAAGACGTCCCAAGAGGTCCCTAAGCGGCGCCCCAAGAGGGCTCCCACAAGCAAAAAACGTCCCATTCCCTTAGGAAAACGTGCATTTTTAACATATCCGCCTCTTCGTCTTTCACACCTTTCAAGGCGGTCCAAGAGGCCCCCAAGATCACCCCAAGACGGCCCGAGAGACCCTCAAGACCGCTCAAAGACGGCCCAAGAGCGCTCCAAGAAGGCCCAAGAAACCCTCAAGAACTCTTTTTCGGAGCCCAGGAGGGCTCCAAATCGGTCCAAGAGGGGCCCGAGAAGCCCTCCAGACGGTCCAAGAGAGCCGGGAGACGCCGAAATATCACTCCCAAACGCCTGCGATGGCCTCAAGACGGCCCAACAGGCCTTCAAGACGCCCCAAGAGGTCCCTAAGAGGTCCCTAAGCGGCGTCCCAAGAGGGCTCCCACTAGCAAAAATCGTCCCATTCCCTTCGGAAAACGTACATGTTTAACATATCCGCCTCTTCGTCTTTCACACCTTTCAAGGCGGTCCAAGAGGCCCCCAAGATCACCCCAAGACGGCCCGAGAGACCCTCTAGACCGCTCAAAGACGGCCCAAGAGCGCTCCAAGAAGGCCCAAGAAACCCTCAAGAACTCTTTTTCGGAGCCCAGGAGGGCTCCAAATCGGTCCGAGAGGGGCCCGAGAAGCCCTCCAGACGGTCCAAGAGAGCCGGGAGACGCCGAAATATCACCCCCAAGCGCCTACGATGGCCTCAAGACGGCCCAACAGGCCTTCAAGACGCCCCAAGAGGTCCCTAAGCGGCGTCCCAAGAGGGCTCCCACAAGCAAAAATCGTCTCATTCCCTTAGGAAAGCGTGCATTTTTACATATCCGCCTCTTCGTCTTTCACACCTTTCAAGGCGGTCCAAGAGGCCCCCAAGATCACCCCAAGACGGCCCGAGAGACCCTCTAGACCGCTCAAAGACGGCCCAAGAGCGCTCCAAGAAGGCCCAAGAAACCCTCAAGACGGTCCAAGAGGCCCCAAGACGGCCCCATGATTGAGGTCCACAGGGGCAACCTGAACGGAAATTTTGAGCCTCCCGCCCAAACACGCCCCCGAAATGCCCCTACAAGCCCCCAAGTAGCCCCACGAAGCCCCCAAGAGAGCCCCAAGAGGCCCCCAACAGGCCGCAAGAAAGCCCCAAGAGGCCCCCAAGAGACCCCCAGGAAGCTCCCAGGAGGCCCCCAAGAGGCCAGGCAGACCCCCCCAAGAGACCACCAAGAGGGCCCACCCAGAGCCATCCACGAGGCCTCCCAAAGTTCCCAAGAAGCTCCCACGAAGCTTCCAAGGGCTCCCAAAACCCCCCAAGACCCCGCGATGGCACAATACGGGCCGGCGGAATGAGCGAAGCGATTCAATAACGGAAAAACTGCAGCGCGATTTGGTGAATCGCCAGAAATCGTTCGAGGCCTCCTGCGGTCACAGAAACACTTAACAGTAAGAGAAGCTTGCCGAGTGCGCCGCGAGGGTCGTCTTCTTCGCACGGCGCCGGGGTGGGGCGCGCCCGACCAGGTCCTCCGCGTCCTTGGCGCCATAGTTCAGGACGTTCTCCCAGACCTCGACCACCTGTCCAGGGAGGGGAGGCAAGGCGAGACGAGACTGACTACCTACCAGACCACCCCAACCCAACCCGAAGACCCGAATTTGAGCCGAATTTCGGGTTGGGGGGGGTACGGATTCCATATGTTTTTTCAGTGTTCCCCGACCCCCCCCCCACTGGAAATCGAGGATCAATTTGGGCCTTCGGGTTGGGTTGGGGTGGTTTGGTGGGTGGTGAGAGACGAGGCGAGGCGAGGCGAAGCGAGGCGAGACGGGGCGAGAGACGAACGTCGGAGCCGTGTGCGCTCCGCCAGGGAGCCCGCCATGGGGCAGGGCGTGGAGGCCGCAGCATCAACAGGGAAGGTGCGGTGCGAGTCTAACCCAGCAGGCCAGCGGATCGCTCGTTGGGCGAAGTCGCGGACTCGCCATCGCTCGGACGTCCATTCCCTGTGTTTTTTTTCGGTTTCGTGCGTGGCTTTCTCGCCAAGTGATCAAGGATGCTCCTCGAAGGTCCTCGCCGAAAGAAAAAATGCACACGTCCGAGCGATGCCGAGTGGAAGGCGAGGTGGAGTTGGGAGCGGGAGTCGGACAATGGGAGCGGGAGGGAGGGAGGAGGGCGAGGAAGGGAGGGGGAGAGCTTCCCCCTCCCCCATCGTGCAGTGGAGGAGATAAGGAGGTGTCTTCTCACGAGCACTCTTCAGTTCTGCCGCTCTGCCGAATTTGAGGCCGCCAGCGCGCGTGATTGCGAATTGTGGCAACCATGCTGCCCACTCCTCCTCCTTCTCCACCTCCTCCTCCTCGCCCAGGGCTGCAGGCGACTCCGGCTCGAGTGGACACGCGAGAGGACGCGAGAGAGCCTTCCCAGACCTCCGTGCAAGGCACAGATCGCGAACACACAGGGCACACTTGTTCTGGCAGGGTGGACCTGCGATTCAAATAGGGGTCCACATGCGAACCCTACCCCACCCTCCCCCTCAGAAATCGTGGGGGGTAGGGGTAGGGTTCGCATGTGGACCCCTATTTGAATCGCAGGTCCACCCTGCCAGAGCAAGTGGACCCCTATCAAACCCTAGGGGTAGGGTTCGCATGTGGACCCCTATCAAGCCCGACTGCTCCTGGGCAGGCCGATCCTCGCTCTTGGGCGCAGCTGGAGTGATGCCGGCCGCACTCGCAGGGCAGCCGCTCCGCGCGTCCAGAGCCCGTCGTGTCTCTCCTCCGCCTCCAGGTCTAGGTCGGGCAGGTCCTCCGGCAGGCCGATCTGAAGGAAAAACAAAACATTATCATGGCGACGTACCCAACCCCTGCGCAATGTAGCTTGGGAGACCTTATACGGAAGTGATGACGTGACTTGGCCTCATATATTTCTGCGAGCGGCATTCGCGAGGCTCGCAGCTCTTCAAGGATTGCGAGGTCCCGCTCACATCTGCGTGGTGCCTCACTCCGCTGGACCCGCCACCAGCCTTTGAAAGTGGCGACAGTTTCGCAGATCGCAGCCCCGCGGGGACGGCGAGGTCCCTCTCAGATCTGCGCGGTGCCTCACTCCGCTGGACCCACCAGCAGCCCTCGAAAGTGGCGACGGTTTCGCAGATCGCAGCCCCCCAGGGACGGCGAGGTCCCGCTCAGATTTGCGCGGTCTCACTCCGCTGGACGCCCTGGAAAGTGGTGACAGTTTCGCAGATCGCCATGCTGGCCCCCCAAGCAGCCCTCGAAAGCAGCATGCAAAAAGGGGGAGGAAGGTAGGCAGGCGGCCACGAAAAGGCCTCTCAGAGGTGAAGAGTTCGCACCTGAGTGTGACATGCGTCCGTCCACGCACACGCACGCACACAGCTTTCGAGCGTCAGCGGGCCGGCGACTCGCCATACCGTCAACCCTCGCGCGCTGTGGGCGCGCGCGGGCAAGCAGTCGGCCCCTCACGGGGCAGCGGCAGGGCAGCGGCAGGGCAGCCGCCGGGCCAGCGGCGGCCAGGGCGGCGCTCGAGATTCCCGCACGACCAGAAGCCAAGGCCGGCCAGAATTAGAACGACCCGGGGCCAGCAAGACAAGGGAGAAGAGAGCTGAGCAGAGAGAGGGAGAAGCGAGGAGCGAGGAGCGACACCGGCCACCGGAGGGAGGAGGCGGACGGACGCGAGGGACAAGGGCCGACCGACGGAGGAGGGGGAGCCGAGGAGGAAAAAGGAGGCACCACACACACCTGGGGCCAGGCACACGACACGAAGAAGGGGAGGGCCCAGGCGAGGAAGGACAGAGAGGGAAAGGAGCGAGGCACAGCACAAAGGCAGAAGGGAGAGGAGGAGGAGGAGGAGGAGGCGGAGGAGGAGGAGGAGGAGGAGGAGGAGGAGGAGGAGAGGGGGGATGGGAGGAGGAAGAGGAGGAAAAAGAAGAGGAGGAGGACGACGACGAGGAAGATGACGAGGAGGAGGACGAGGAGGAAGAAGAGGAGGAAGATGAGGACGAGGAGGAGGAGGAGGAGGAGGAGGAGGAGGAGGAGGAGGAGGAGGAGGAGGAGGAGGGGGGGGATGTAAGAGGAGGAGGAGGAGGACGAGGAGGAGGAGGAGGGGGGGAGAATGCAAGGCGTGCGGGCCCAGCTCCGCGGGCCGACGTGGACGCCACTCCCTGGCGTGTCGCTGCGCAGACGACGCTTCTTGCCGCCCCGTGTCTCCCCCTGGCGGACCTCGCCTGGGCGACGAGCCTCGCCGGCGGGCCCACCGCACGCACGGGCCGGCGGCTCTTCCACTCCACTCCTTTTTTTCTGTTCGGGGTTACGGGCCTCCAGGCCTCCGTGTGGACGGACCCTCTGCCGCCCGCTCTCTTCGCTCCGCTTGTTCCCGTACCCGTGTCCCTCACTTCGGCTTCTTCTTATTACGATTACTATAATAATTGGTTGTCTTAGTAGTAATATTTTTAGTATTAGAACCATTTTTCTTATTATTATTATTCATAATATTACTATTCGTATCACTATTAGTACTAGTATTATCATCCGTATTATCATTATTAGTTTCATCCGTATTATTATATTAGTATTAGTAGTATTATGAGTAGTATCATTAGTGTTAGTATTAAAAATATTATGATTCCTAGTATTAGTATTATGAGTATTATTACTACTACTAGTATTATTAATACTAATATGAATAATAGTAATAGTTTTATTATTGTTACTATTATTAGTATTAGTAACAGTATTATTAGTGTTATTATTACTGTGTTTATTAGTATTATTACTATGGTTTTGACTATGATTGGTATTACTCATAGTTATTGTTATTATTGGTTTTATTATTGTTGTTATTAATGTTATTATTATTATTGATATTATTAGTGTTAGGATTGTTATTATTATTGTTATTATACTTATGCGTTGCTAGTATTTATTATTATTGTTAGTATTCGTTTTATTGTGATTATTGCTACTAATATTGTTATTATTATTGGTGTAGGATTATTGTTTGTATGATTTTTATTGTTGTTAGTAACAGCAGTGTTATTAGTATTAGCAGTATTGTTAATTTTATTGTTATTAGTATGAGTTATTATTGTTAGTATTATTAATATTGTTAGTAACATTGTCCTTGATAGTATTATTATTAGTTGCCATTTTTGTTATCTTTCTGAGTATCGTTATGATTATTAGTTATTGTTCGTATTAGTATTGTTATTATTATTGTTATTAGTGTTGTTATGATTGTTAATACTAGTGTTCGCATTATTATTCAAATTGTTAGTGTTAATAACATTGTTATTATTATTGTTAGTATTATTATTGATATTATTATTGTTGGTATAATTATTTGTAAAATTATTCTTTATAATTATTGGAATTAGTAGTATCACTATTAGTATCATTATTGTTCTTATGATTCTTATTATTACTAGCATTGTGATTATTATTATGAGTAGTAGTATCATTCTTATTATTATTATCACTATCCGGGCGCAAGTAGCTGGTGTGGCCGCACTCCTTCTTGCGGCAATTGACGGCGCGCGCCGGCAGGCGCGCGTAGCACTTCCTGCAGATCATCTTGTCGCAAATGCACTTGCGGGCCAGTACCGCCAGCGACAGCTCGATCACCCATGCCACTCCTTGGTTCCCACAACACCCACGGATCGAGGGACGCCAGGTGCGCCTCATCTAGAGGAACAGCTCCAGGGGGTCCACTGTTTGGGCGCGCAGCCCGGGTGGGAAAGCCCTTGACCAGTGCTGAAGTAGAGGAGAAAGAAGCGGTAAACGGAGGAGCTGAGTTGAGTTCTGGCAAAGATGATCCACTGTCGGCACAGATGATCCGCAGCCTTGCACTGCAGAGAACCGTAGTTGACCAATAGGATTCCCCTGTCTTGATGTCAGGTACGCAACACGTTGTCACTTGCACCTATCTCGGCTCTGTTCAAGAAAGACTGCCCAGCACATAGAGATCCAGGATGACCACGACGACCACGACAACGACCAATCACGACGACGACGACCACGACGGCGACCACGATGACAACCACGACGGCGACGACCACGACGGCGACGACCACGACGACGACCACGACGACGACGACGACGACGACCACGACGACGACGACGACGACGACCACTAGAACAACAACGACGAGGACGACGACGACAACCACGACCACGACCACGGCGATCACGACGACGACGACGACGACGACGACGACGACGACGACGACCACGACCACGACCACGACCCCGACCACGACGACCACGCCCACGACCACGACCACGATCTCGACCGCAACGACCAAGACGTCAGCGGCCACGACGACAACGATGCCGCCGAGGAGCGCCTGCTCCACGGGCAGCAGCTGCAGCTCGGGCGACCCGCTGCCGTGCACGAACAGGTCGTGCTGCCGCAGCGTGCACTGCAAGTAACGCCGGGCCCAGTCGTATGCCTTCCGAACGACGACGGCGGCGGCCACGGCGACGACGACACCGACGGCGGCGGCGACGACCACGACGACGCCGACGGCGGCGACGACAACGGCAGCGCCAGCGACGAAGACGACGAAGGGCGAGAGACGAAGGAGAAAGGCAGGGGAGGGAGAAGCAGCGGGAGAAGAAACGGAAGCACCAGGACCCAGAGAGGGAGGACTAGGGGGATGAGGAAGAGAAGGAGGAGAAGCAGGAGCAAAGGGGGGAGAAGGAGGAGGAGGAGGAAGAGGAGGAGAGCAGGAGGAGGAGCAAGAGAAGGAGTAAAAAAAGGAGGAATAGGAAAAGGAGGAAAAGGAGTAAAAGGAGAGAAAAAAAAAACAAAAAAAAAAAAAAAAAAAAAAAAAAAAAAAAAAAAAAAAAAAAAAACGGAAAATGAGGAAGGAGGAGGAAGAGGAGGAGGAGGAAGAGGAGGAGGAGGACGAGGAGGAGGAGGAGGAGAAGGAGGAGGAGGAAAAGGAGAAGAAAGAGAAGGAAGAGGACGAGGAGGAGGAGGAGGAGAAGCGGAGGAGGAGGAGGATGAGAGGGAGAAGAAAGAGGAGGAGGAGGAGGAGGAGGAGGAGGAGGAGGAGGAGGAGGGATCTGAGGGATCTGATGAAATTCCTTGGTCTGCAAGGCCCGCCACCTAGGCACGCATCTCGGACCTACGCCGAAAAGCACAGTGCCAGGCCAATACCCAGCGCAAGCGAAGGGGATCCAGCATGGCGACGAGACCACAGGACCCCGAAGCACCGCCCGATGGCGGTTATTTCGAAGGAAATCCAGCACAGCGACGAGCGACGCCAGAGACCCAGGGAAAACAAAGCACCTCCCGATGGAGGCGGCCGAGGGGAGCCCAGCAAGGCGACGAGGGCAGGGGCCCGCCACTGCCCGATGGCAGCACCAAAAACGAGCCGCGCCCCAAGGCGAAGCTGCGCAGCACCGCGGAAGCAGGGCCAGGGATGTTGCGAGGACGAAAACGGGGAGGATGGGAGCGGCTGCCTTGGCGACGAGGACAGGGGGCCGACAGTCAAACAGCGAGGAGGAGGAGAAAGGAGGAGGAGGAGGACGAGGAGAAGGAGGAGGACGAGGAGGAGGAGGAGGAGGAGGAGGACGAGGAGGGAGGAGGGAGGAGGGAGGAGGAAGGAGCGCCCAACAACGAGGGGAGTGACCCAATTCACACATGCACACAAGAAAAAGGGCGGTCCGGCGAGGTCGGGATCCTCATCCACCTCCCGACCCGCCCTCCTCCTCTCCTCCACCTGCCGTCCCAGGGCCCCTGCGGTCTCCGACGCGAGGCCGCGCAGCACCAGCACCCTTTGCCAGTCGGCGGTGGGTTGGGGCAGCGGCCGCACCGCTGCCTTCGGGACCTCACGCTTCGCAGGCCCATGGTGGCCCTGGGCCCAGGCGGAGAAGGAGGGCTGCCACTCGGCCCTGACTTCCAAAGACGGGGTTCCTACGCAGGCAAGCGTAAAACTCTGAGGAGTACGGCGCCCAGGATATACTCCAGCTCGAAACTTGTTCACATAGAAACACCGACCCCCCGTGACGACAGGACGACACGACAGGCGAAGGTTCCCCCGTTTCGAGCTGGCACCCACCACGCTACCACATGCAACGCACATCAACACGCGATCGCCAAAAGTTTCACGATCCGATTCGAACACATTCGCTTGCTCGAGCAAGTGCCCGAGTTGCTTCCAAGCTCCCGGCACCGCGCAGGCCTCTGGGACAGGCGGGCTAACCTGGGGGTCGGGAAGGGGCGCAGAAGCAGCAGCAGCCCCCTCGGACCCCGAGCAAGAGGAGGGAATGGGAAGCCCAGGGGTGGCCTCTAGAGAGACATCGTTTAGCCACTCAAGGCCCTGGTGGCCCTGCATCGCCAGGGCCTGCACTCAAACTGCCGCGCGGCACAGAACACTCCGAGCCGACGGGCCAGCTTCGAGCACCCAAGGACTTTGAGCCTGTCAGGCTCGGAAGCACGAAAATGGACAGTCCCATCCTTCGCGAGCCTGTCAGCCACCGCGTTACCGAAACGCTGGAGGTCTGAAATCCTACCTTCCCTGACGTCACTCATCGACGTGCGCGAAAGAATCTTGACAACGTTCACACCGCCCAAACCATCGCCAAGTTCAGCCCACCAGTGGGCCCTGGTAGACCTGGGGCCCCCTGCACCTCTGAGGTTTCGGCGGCAGCCCACCGTGGCGGCACAGTCAATGCACAGAGAAACTCCGCACAGTGCAATGGGCCGCCCTCCTAGACAGCATGAGGACCGCGAAGTCCCCCCTGTCGCGCGCCAGCTGGTCCGGCGCCTCGCCGAGGGGCGCGCGCCCAAAGGTCGCGGCCAGGGTTCGGCCTTCTCTGTCCAGAACTACCACGGCCCATCCAGCCGCGCGCGCACCAGGCACGCCGCCCTCGAAACCCGAGCCGTCCGCAAACACGCGGGCCCCCTCAGGAATGGAAAACGGCCCATCTTGCGGCCACTGAAAAGTTCGAGCGCGCGGGTCGCGCGGGCCCCTCGGGGGCCTCGAGACGCAGGGCGCGGGGTCGGGGAGAATGCACCTACTAAACAAGTATCTAGCATCACACGTGAGATGGCCTAATCGCCGAGCCGCGTCAGGCACAGCAGGATCAAGGTTCTCGGGGGCCACGCGTCGAAAGCGCAACTGGAGAATCTCCGACGGTCGTGACTGCCTACAGGATCTCCGCACCACTTGCCTTGCTTATCAGTCTCTGGATTGCAAGCGTAGATGCGTGCCTGGGACCAATACGCATTGGCCATCAGCGCCGACAAGGTTGCTCTGTGTCCCGTGGACCAGCACTCTGAGGATCCCCCACCTAAAAACAGGTGAAAGGGGGGCCAATGGACAGGGCCACTCCACTCCTTAAAATCATGCTGCGCCGCTTGCTCCTCGCGCTCGGTCGCTCTCCGAACGGCACTGCGCGCGAGGGCACTGCAGAACTCAAGAGAAAACTGTTCAACCGACCAGGCCTTTCCTTGATCATCCACAGGGAGAGGGTCTCAAAATCGAACCTCCAGTTGATCCTGGCCAGGAGCAGGAAAAGGACAGCGATGGGCCGCCAGACCTGGCCCCATGGATTCGGGCCTGGACCGAGAGCCGCTCTGGGATCAGCGGTTCGCACGAAGCTAAGCCGATCTCCCTCACGGCTCGACCCGCAACCCCCCCCGCGTCCGTCCCCGTGGCCGGCACCTGGGTCGAGATCTCCGAGGTTGGCGACCCCGCGTCTCCAGCCCACCTCGCTGGGGCCCAGCATCGCGAACGAAGGGCCCCAACTTCCCCGCGACCTCCAGCAACGCGGTCGCGGTCCTGTTGGGCCTGCCCCATCGGGTGCGTCTCCTCCGAGGGCGCCGCCGCCGAATCCACCGTGGCCCCCCGACCCCCTTGACCATCCCATGCTGCATCCCACGCGCCCGCTGCCAGATACAGGCGGCACGTGGGTGGGAGGTCGCGGGTGGGGGGCCAGGATAAACGGCAACTTCAGCCTCTGTTGGATTCGGCCCACAGTCCTTCTGCCCGCGCGCGTCGACAAAGATGCACGCCCATTCTGACACCGAGCGGCCAGGCTGGCCAGACATCATGCAGAGTTCGCCGACCAGGACGGGCGCCTTGCCAAAGACGCCGCGGAGCTGCGTGGGCGCGGCGGATCTCCTCGTCCGCTGCCAGCCGCTCCCGCACGTTGGCCACCCACGTGACAGGCGACTGACTTGCAGGCGCAGCAGCAGGCTGCGCACCCGCCGCCGTGGCCCGCCCAGCCCCTGCTTGGCTGCCGCCTGGGGCTGGGTCTCCTTCGCTGGTCTTCCTATTCTTGCCCTCGAGGCGGGCCACGTGCTGGCGTTGCCCCTCCTTGGCGGCCTGGGCTTTCTCCAAGGCGCCCTTAAAGGTGCTGGTGATCCTGAGCAGCCGCCTGCTTACGCTGCCCCAATTATTCGCGATCCTTGGTCTCCAGGTCGTAGCTGCCCAACAGGTCGCCTGTGCCGAGGAAGTCGCCCACCGTGAAGATCTGCTCCAGTTGAAAAGATCCCTGCACCAGCTCGCGAATACTGATGGTAGGTGGCGCCGCCGCCGCTGGGGCGGAGCCGACGTGGCTCTCAGCCAGAGCCTGGTGCACCTCCGCGCCGGCCTCCTGCAGCTGGCGATGCAGCTCCGCGATACTGCCGACCAGTTCCTCGACACCATTTTACGCCACTTGTCCAGTTTGTTCAGTTCTGCACCGACCTTCTTCTCCAAGGCTGCCCGTCGCTGCTCCGCGCGCTGCCACCTCTGGCGAGCCGTCGGAACCTGGCGGGGCGCAGGTGCCCTCGCCGCCAGTGCCTTGTAGCGCTTGACGCCCCCTGCATCGCCAGCCTCCTCAGCCAGAGTGGCCAGCTCCTTGCACTTGTCGAGGGGGAGAATGGCCACTGGACCAGGCGGAAGGGCTGCCTTGTCGGACATTCTCGGGTCGGTGCCCTTTTCCACGTCCTCCTCCACGGCCTCGCTGCCCGAGTTTGCCACCTTTTCCTTCTCCCTTGGCGGCTTTGTCTCCGTCGATCTCGGCCGTGCTGCGCCTGAGGGAGCTCCCGCAGCGCTTGCAATACAACGCGCCTTTGGGATTCGTGCTGCAGCCACAAGCGGCGCGAACCACCATGTTGGCCTTAGCACTCTGGGTATACCATGTCCCATCGTCGTTGGCGGGAGAGGAGCTCCACGACGCTGGCCACGAGTAGCTGCCTCCCCACCTCCTGCGGCGCTCGGCCCAGGGAGCAGTGGCAGTCCTGCGAGCAACACCGCCAGCCGAGCCATCGCCCTGAGCCGTACGTCGCTCCGACAGGAGCTCATCAAACAATGCCGTCTCGTGCCACTGGCCCGCAACAGCAGTGTGCCGTGCGGAACTTGCCTGTTGCAAGCTCAGGCCTCCTGCCCGAGCCAGACGGCTGGGAGGAGGAGGAGGAGGAGGAGGAGGAGGAGGAGGAGGAGGGAGGAGGAGG